TCTAGTGGCTAGGATACCTGGCTTTCACCCAGGAGGCTCGGGTTCGATTCCCGGTACCGGAAACTTTATTTTTTATTTTTATTTTTTTTTAATTGTAAATTTATAATGAAAAATATTTTATAATAAATTGTTAACTATTAAAAATATTAAATTATTGTATAAAATGTTATAAAAAAAATTAATTTAAATAAATAAAATTATTAATAATTGATTAATGATAATTTTTTCACGTATTTAACAAAACTTTTAAACGTTCTGTAAATAAATATCAAGAATTAGATGTAATATAATAACCATAAAAAAAAAACAGAAAATTTACACGTGAATAAAAAATTTCTAGATATAGTTCATTTTAAAGAAAATATCTTTGAAAAAAAAGAACTTATTAAAAAAAAAGAAATGAATCTAAAATAAAAATGGAATGTATTATTTCTAATAAATAATCAAAAATAAAAAATAGCAAACACATATTAAATATTAATATAACATCGATAATATCATATACAAATAAATTTATAATTTACCAAATTTCTTACATATAAAAATTATAACAATGATAAAAATTATAATGATATTAAATTCAAACAGTAATTTTAGTTTATTTAAATTATAAATTATAAATTAAAAAATAAATTTAAAAAATCAATTGAAAGTTTTTAATATATTATTTTTCTAAATAACGATATTTTATTTTATTATAACATAAAATTTTAATTCCTTAGAGCTATATGATTCAAAACAAAAAATTTAAAATACAACAAAAAAAAATATCCTATATACCAAACATTGCTAACGGTTTAGAATAGAATACGGACAAATTGAAACTGTTATTCAATATTTACACAGTAAACCTACTAAAGTCGTCCAATTTAAACATGGACAAAAGCATCGATGAAATAACAGTCACAGACAACTAGTAATTTACGTTATTCGCTAAAAAATTACTTAAATAGAATTTCACAGTTTTGAAAATTTTAGTTAAAATATAAGTTATTTTAATTATTTCTATTTACAAATTTATAAGTTAGGAAAAGTTAGTTTATCTTATAAAGATAACAAGACTAAATAAATAATGCTTATTTTGCTTTTAATTTTTCTTTATATTTTGAAATATAATAATAAACTAATTTTATTTAATTTCTCTGTTGAAAAAAACATATTCTTTTTAAAATAAACTAACGTATAGTTATATGCAAATAATAATAACCAAATATAAAATAATATACTATAATCATATAAATAATCATTTTTCAAATGTTTTATATAATAAATTCTTGTTCAATAGTTTTCCTTGCAACGGAAAAAAATTATATATTATATTTTTATTATCTTACCTTTTTTTGAATCCCTTAATCCAATTTTATAATTCCTCAAAATTCTTATAATTATACGATACCTTTATTTATCGATGAAATAATTATCTTTTCTCACATTATACCCACCATAACACTTTCATTATCACAGATAACGAATTAGAAATTAATTTTTAATTCTAAAAACTTAGTTTTCAAGAAAAAAAAAATATTGCTAGTTCATATAAATGAAAATTTTAAAATTATATAAAGAAAATTTATTCCTTTAAGATTCATTCCTTCCAAGATTTCAACTAATTCGGTTCGCACAATTTATAACAGCATTTTGTAGATTCGCTAAAGATGGAGCTACATGAACATTATTATATCACATTTGATTGGTGATTGATACCACTTCCAATAATACTGGTAAGAGACATGATTGGATATTATTAAAATAAATTTTTATTTAAATTTTATATAAATTATTCAATTATTATTATTTACTTTATAAATTTATTATGATATAAATTAATGTTAAAAAATTATTATAAAATTAATATTTATTGTTATATTTTATATTTAAATACTTTTTATTACAAAACAAAAATTAAAATTTTTTATATATATATATATATATATATATATTGAAAATTGACTTCTAACGATTATATTTATATTTACCACAATTTTTTATATCGTTATACTTAAATTTAAATATATTTATTTTCATAGTTTTTATTATATGATTTATTATTAAATAATAAATCATATAATAAGAGCGAATAACACGTTATGTTTTTGATATTTTTAAAAATTATTATTTGTTTATTATTTAGCTTATTTTATAGTAACATTTAAAATAACTAAATATAATTATAAAAATTTAAATCTTTTCAATATATTTCTCTAAATAACTTCAAATTTTGAAATTTATTTATAGATATCCTAATTTTAAATATATTTATTCATAATTTTTATAGATTTTATTGCATTTATGCATTATGCATTTTTTTTATAAATAATAAAATATGTGTTTAAAGAAAAGATGAGTTTTATTCGAAACTATTGACCATTTCAATTGACTATCAGAGCCAAAAATTGTAGTATATATTGAAATGGTTTATTGATTTATCTTTGCCTTATCTTTGACTTATCTATTGCTTAATCATTATTTTTTAATTATTTTTTAGATATATTATTTTTACTATTATAATATATATTATTAAGAAATAATTCTTTATTTTTTTTTATTTATTTTTATATGTTATATAATAATACTATATATTTTATTAAAATTTATTAAAATACATATTTTAAGAATAAGATTTTCAAGATCCGGTATGGTCTAGTGGCTAGGATACCTGGCTTTCACCCAGGAGGCTCGGGTTCGATTCCCGGTACCGGAAATTTTTTTATTCTGTTTTTTTTTTCTTTTAATTCATATATTAATAATGTAAGTGTAATATAATATCATTATTTTTAATGAATAATATTTAAATATTATAAAATAAACATTATAAATACGATATTTATACAATAATAACTTTATATATCATTTTTTAGTAAATTATTATTTTTTCTGTGATTTATATAAAATGTAAATTTTAAATGAGTATAATGCAATTGTTAAAAGTATTAAAAAAAAAAAGAGAAATGAAAAAAAAACGATTATAAAAATAAAATTGTGAAGATAAAATTATTTATAATACTTCTATATTTTAATAATGTATGTGTGTAAATAATGTATGAAATACAAATATAAAAATTATAAAATTATATTTTTAATATATATTATTTCTTATTAAGTTATTTGTAGAAATGTAAACGTGAACTCCGGTATGGTCTAGTGGCTAGGATACCTGGCTCTCACCCAGGAGGCTCGGGTTCGATTCCCGGTACCGGAATTTTCTTTTTAATTTATGTATTTATACTTTTTTTTATGATAAATTTATATATTTGTAATTAATGCATTTCTAAAATAAATAAAATATTCAAGAATTTTAATAATTGTAATATTTTATAATGGAAAATTTTTTTCTTCGTCGTTTTTTTAGTTTAAATTATCTTATTTTTGTACTTTTTTTTTATTAAACAAATTAGTTTTTGTAATTATTATTTTATTTCTCGATGTCACTAAAATTTTATTCATTTGAATATTAATAGGTACTAATATGAGAAAGAAAAAATATTTTCATTACCTTAACTTGGCCAACGCATAATGTCTTTGGTGGTTGATTGGCACGTACTACAAATTCAGGACCGACACATTGGGCTTTGTTAAATGATCTTGTAGGTCCACCTATTGTTCTGTATAAGCGAGACGGTGCTCTTTGAACGGCTTTACCACGTCGTGCTCTGGGTCCATTCTTTATCAGATTTCTAAAAGCATTATTAGAAAAAAATATGTGTTATGAATTTATCTTTTGATAAACATATATATAACATTTAATTTCTTTCCTTTTATATAAATTGAATATTTATTCGCATTAAAATAATAAAATAATATAAATAGAAATTTAATATTAACAAAACTTTTAATTTTTGCAATTTTTAAAAATTCTAAAAAGTTTCACTTTAGAATTTTTATTATCTAATAGATATTTTTAAATTAATAATTATTTCAAGATATTAGAAAATAGCTTTTCTTTAAAAGTTAAACGATAAACAATTCGTTAAATCAATTCGTTATATTATAATACTCGAACGGATTGACGTCAACGAATTTATCCATGTTTAACAATCGTAAATTTCAAAGGATTCTCAAGATTTCTCCGCCAAGAACGATCATAGCGAAATCTCTTTTTATTTTTTTCATTTTCTCTATTTTAGAACGATTCTTTTTTTTCTCCATTCTTTCCTTTTTTTTTATCTTTATATTTTGCATTTTTCTATTCAAATTTTTGTTTTCATTCCATAAATTCCAAATTTATTTTAAACTATAGTTAAAGATAGAATCATTTTCTTTATTCATTCTTTATTTGAATTATTACTTTCCCTTCATTTATTTTTCTGATTCAATATAATTCCTATACTATTCAATAGTAAAATAATAAATCTTCATACTTTATGGAAATTAAACAATAAACCAAATTCAATTCAATTAAAAAATTCGGTTTAATTACAGTTTAAAAATTGCTGATATAATTTAACATTCTGTTTCAAGATTGATGAAATTCTGTAACACGTTATTGTTGGTAGATTACATTATAAATTTTAATGTAACCTGGTCCATTAACATGCTCTTCATATTTTCCAATGGCTTTTCAATATTCAATGTGTTATTATTAACAAAATTTAGCAATAGATCATATAGAGATATCTATAGATTCTATTAACATAAAAGATAAATGTTGGTTTATTTAAAAATTGTTATTTAAAAACTGAGAAAAAAAATTTCATGAATACATCTTTTATGACAATTAATACTTTTGCTATGGTTCATTAAAATAATTTTAAAATGATCTATATCTTAGACATCAAAAGAATAATTATTTTAATTTGTTTCAGTGTCGTTTGTAACATAGAATTTTGATATAATAAATTGATTCCATCTATTATATTAGTCTGAAATATATTAACGTAAAATCTTGAGCTGCAGTTGTCTGATTAAATGCACAATATTTTCAATTAAATTTCGCATCAAACTTCTTCTCTAAATAAATTTCCCAGCGAGTAACAATGTTAAAAAATTTTTTACCTAGGCGGTTTCGCCGGTGGTTCCGATTTGTTGCTTTCCACATCGGAGAATGGCAGCTTCTTCAGCGTGGTGATTATTCGAGGCGGCTTTGGTGGTCCTTGAACACTTCTCACTCTCATGGAAGACACTGGATTTTGTTGTTGCACTCCCTGTTCCTCTTTCCCTCTACCGGCCGAACACCTGTGATCGGTCGTTGTTACGCTTTGCTCCGTCACCCGCTCCAAATCATCCTGATCCCTGCTAGGAAGCTGAGGATTCGAGTGTTGCCTCTGCAGCGCTGGTTTCTCTCGCGTCGTAGATCTTCCGTAAATCTCCTCTCGTGTCCGCTCTGTCGACGACGATGTCGCTATATCCGGATGAGAATAACCGGCTATGGACGGTCGCCTGCGTCATAAAAATGTCTTAACAATTCGAGTAATTCACGCAATTCGAACTAAAATAATTACTCACGATGACTTTCACCTATTATTATCTTATGAATATTTATCACGCTTCAAAATACAGTTACATCTTGGAACACTGTTATCTTTTCAAAAAAAAAAAAAAAAAAAAAAAAAAAGAAAGAAAGAAAGAAAGAAACGAAATACCTTGCAATAGCCGTGGTCGTGTACACATCCTCGTTACGATGGCCGACAGGTGTCTTTACGGACAGTCCGTTCACCCTGACGTCTTGGGAGCTGAGGAAAGGTTTAACGGGTAACGCGTAAATCGGGTCGCTGTAAACGTTCCCTCCTGGATTACTTTCACCGACGATCGTCGATGGCAGATTTCCACTGCTCCTCGTGTGCTGCAACCTCGTGTAAATCGGCTGTGAATACGTTCTCGAGTGATGGTGCCTTCGTTGATGCTGCAACACCGGCCCAGCGACCGGACGCCCGCTCGCCTGAACGTTCACCTGCGAGTGAAACTGCGTCCTGCGATCCTCCACTTCCTGCCTACGATTCTGTTGCGACTGTTGGCCGCACAGGCTCGTCAGATTCGGGTGTGAGTGAGAGTTTCGCGACTGAAGCTTGAACAGCGCACCCTTGGCCGGATGATGATGATGATAGTGATGTACCTTGGGCGTTTCAGCTTGTTGAGACGCCTCTTGAAATTGTTGGATATGTTGATGGGGCTGGTATCGGGCTGGAGAACGATGCTGGTTCGAGTGATTATTGTACTGATGATTCATCGATCGATACTGTTGATCTTGATTATTATTATGGTGATGGTGATGGTGATGATGATGATGATGATTATGATGAGGATTTTTGTTGGCCTGGTTGTGGATCGATTGAAGGGAGTCCGGTTGTTGGGGTGGTGGTGGTTGGGGATGGTGGTGGTGGGGATAGGAGTTGGTCTGACGACGATTCTGATCCGAGAGATCGGATTGATTTCGAAGAGGAGGCGGAGGATTTAGGTGTTGATATGTGATCATGCGTTTTCGAGCTGTGTACTGGGAGGATTTGACCACCTCGCGGTACATATCCATCACGATGTGAGTGAAAGGCTTCGACTGTAAACGGGTGCGGCAGTACTCGGAGATTACCTGAAATGAGACAGAGAGCAGAAAGTGTTTACTTATCGTGTTAAATGGATAATAATATATTAAATTTTATGTATTTGTACGGTTCGAAGATATATTTATCAATTCTTATTTATATTTTTATTGGGATAAATTTTATGGGTTTGTTATTTTGGACAGGTTTCTCGATAAATAGTTGGATAACGATTATCGAACTTAATTTAGTTTAACAGTTAAATAAGTACGAAGTGTTCTTGCGTCGATACAAATCTGAAGAATATTGGAAATCAAATAGGGGAGATCAAAATTTTTAGTACTTTATTGTAGTTATTAAACGGAAATTAATGCATGCCATTATTATTCGATAAAATGGAAAATACAAGAAATTAATTCCAAGTAGATTTAAAATTTCGTTCTAAAATGATTATTATTATAACTTTTTATTTCATATTATCAATAAAATCGTACGCGTGCGGTATTCTGATTATCCGATTTCGAAATGCTCACATTGGTAGACAATCTATTAGTTTTAGGAGGAACAATAGCCCCAAGAAATTCCATAGACTGTGATATCAACGGAGAAGCGAGCCGCAAGTTCGACCTATCATCGCTTCATTGTACTCTAGGATGACAAAAGCCAATTCTATAGGAAGATAATGGTTTTGAGAAGACGATGCAGACGAAAGGTACTTTTGTATTTTTTTTTCGTGTGTTTAGTCACTCTTGACCGATTTTCACGCTCGAGTATTTACGATTTTATATTACACACAATGTGATTTGTTTGAAAATTCAAAAAATCAAAGAAAAGTATTGGCAAAAATCATATCGTATCATAATTTCTATTACACTCTCAGTAAAAGAGTACATTTTTGGAACAAAATAAAAACGGAAATATCCTATGAAATCCCGGCTAATTTTTACCACGATTTAATCTTCCAAGTTATCAACATGGTAGATCATTTCCATCATTCGAATTTCTTCTCGATCCTCCGAGGATCGATCTCGGTCGGTAATTTCAGCCGAGCGGTCGATCGAGTCCTCCGACCGGATGATTCATCACCGAGCCGAGGAATTCTCGATGAAATTGGCGACGACGAAGGGATAAATTCGCGCCTCGTGACCCCTCTTTGCCTCGGGATTTCATCAATTTCGTGGCCCATTCAGGTGCAACCGATGAATTACGGTCACCCGAACGAATGGTTTTATTAAAAGTGGCCAGTTTCTAGAGAGACGTTAATCATCGAGGATTTCTTTCTTATCGTTTATCCGAGACGAATTATTTTTATCCCTTCGAGAGATTAAAGATGAAAAATAAAATTATTTTTTGATTTGTGGGAAGCTTGTATTAAGCGTCATATATGCGACGATATGAAAACTTTGAATAATTAATTGGAATGAGAGAATTCCTCCATATTGATGACTTTGAAGTATTTTGTTAAAGTTATCAGTCTTGAATAATATTTCTTTGTAAATATTATTGCAATTTGACTTTAATTTTCGAGATATTCACAAGAAAATTTTATTTGTTTCTCAATATTCATTGATCAATAAATCAATTAACCTAACCTAACCTAATCTAACCTAATCTAACCTATTAAATTTTTTCATATAACTATAGACAAAATCATGAAATTCTCGATTAAAATCGTTAAATCGTCTCGATTAAAAGCATTATATATACATATTTTTTCATAGATCTCAGAAAAAAAGGGAAGGAAAAAAAAAAAGAAAGGAAGGAAAGAAGGGACTCGTATCTCTGCCCTCTATCGGTAGCGTCGGTGAATTATATCTTGTTATCGATTGAGCATTGTTTTTTTTATCTCTCACTTTTCAATCTCACACTTATTTCATTTTAGGAAAAATTCTACTTTTCAAAAAAAAACAGCTAATTTGATGATCTTCGTCATCAGTTCGATCAATTCTCAAGAGAAAATATATCATAGATCGTCAGAAATTTTTTAACATTATCATAGAGATATTTAACCCACGCCAATCGTTACGATCCATTCGCCTTCTCCATTCTATTCGCGGGACATATAACACAATTAAAGCGTGTCCGCCTTCGCAAACGTTCGAGTGCTTCTCCACGATCGTTCTCTATATTCGCCTTCGATCGACAGATCGCCCTTTACGGCCCCAGTATTAATGAAATTTGTAACTGTAACGCGCGATGATAGCAGTCAGACGTGATCGACCTAATTGCATAATCTGTAGTCCTTTGCAAAACGGAACATTTTGATCGAATATCTTTTCACACTGGGAAGCAGAAACGAAGTTAAAAGGGGAAAAGATATAAAAGGATACTCCTCTTTGGATAATTAGGACTTTTTTAATACACCTGGATGATTTATGTGGAATTTGACGCTTGAGAAAGTAATGGTAATGGAATTAATGTTAATTGATAAGATATTAACGATTATTATTATTTTTTGTAATAATAAGCTTTTTTGACGGGGATTTTTGTGAATTATGCGAACGAATGCATGCTTCAATGTATGCACATATTCTATCTGTTCTATACGTATATATACATTCCATATACTTATATCCTATTCTATTTCAGCACATTCATCACTCTACGAATTTCAATTTAAAATTTTCCCATTCTGAATAGCAAACTTCCTAAAATATTCAGTTCCAAACTTTATTTCCTGATCCCTAATAATAAAATTTATTCAAAATGCTTTAAGTCATCGATTTTAGAATCGATCAAAGCCAAATAATAATTTCCCCAAAAGCCAAATGTAATTTTCATTACATCGCTTTTTACCGTGTGTACCTCTCCATCTCGTTCAAGATCAATTTGCCGCAATTTAGCCCAAGAATCCATCCTCGTTAGCATAAAACTTTCTACTTCACAAAACCGTACGTACAAGATCAATTTGCCGAAGAACAAACGCGAATCACGAAATCACGTTTCCCAACGTGTAGAATTATTCAAAACGATACAAATCTCGTCTCAAGATTCGTCTTGAAAAATACGATCAAAATCAAAGTTCAAACAAATATGCATATTTTTTTTTCGAATCACTCTTTTATATTTATTCTCCGCCTCGTAAAACCATCGCGTCCAAGATCAACTTGAGCCAATTCTACGTTTCTTTTAACATAGAATTATGCAACAAACGGGTACCACCAACCGTTTCACGGTTCGTCGTCGAAACGAAGAACAACTTCACAATTCGAGAAGTCGAGAGAGGAGAGATGTAGGCCGTGAATTTCAATAACGTGGGATAGCCACGCTGCGTTTTATAGCCGCGAAATAGCATTGTTATTCCCGCGAATGGTCGACCCCCTTCCTCGTTGTGTGTATTCGCGTGTGCATTCGCCACCCGATTCAACTCCGATGCAGCTGCTTCTTCAACCTCGTTCGCGATTCAACGTCTCGTCCCGTTGCTCTTGGCCGTGACACGGGAATTAATTTTCGGGCCGCCATACAAAAACGCCAACCGAATAAATCGCGGCCGTAATTATTATGTGTCCCTTCAGGCCACGACAAAACGCGTTATAATGGCCTCCTCTGCGTTCACGTGGCGATGGAGAGAAGTCGGACGGGCGTATTATTTACGTTTCGGTTTTGGGGAGAAGTCGTGAAAATTGAATTGGTTTGAAATCGGTGTTTTGAAACGTGGAAGATTCAAATGGACAAATGGAAGAGTCTTTTGAGTACAGTGTGTAAATGTTCTTTGCTTCCTTTTCTTTGGAGGATTGATTTCTGGAAAGCAAATGAATGAATGAATGTTGATGTACAAAAAATATTTTGGTCTCTAGAGACAAATTTAAATCGCGTCTATATTAATATTTATGTTTAAAGAGTATTATTTTTTGGTTTTTTTTTTAAATAATATTTTTATATCTTCATGGAATTCGTTAGTTTAAGTAGAATTATTTGAATTTCGTCGTGGGAATATTTATAAGAAATAAAGAAAAAGGGAAAAGGAAGAAAAAATATCGAACTGTGGAATTGCAGGGAATAAAATATCGAGTTTTTAGCGATATCTATTGAATTATTTCCCGTTTTCGGTGCAAATATACGGACGCGTCTATCGAAAATTTGCAGTTTCCGCCAGGTGAATACGTGTCGAAAATAAAAAAGTTTAAACGAAACTAACGTGAATATTTATCAAATTTATTACAAATATTCGCGTCAATCGTTCAATTCCTCGAAATATAAAAATATCACTATCCATCCTGAGATTAAAAACTAATTATTTATCAATGCATAATCAAATTCAATGTTCTAAAAATTTATCACAACAGTTTTTTATATATACTCTTTGCAAATAATAACTTTATTAACGAACTCAACATTCCATTGTAAAACGTAATTTATTTATTCGAACAATTATAATTCGTTCGATATTTTTTTCGACATACAATAACAATTCTGTTTAAATAATCACTGTTGTTACTAAATATATATTTCAACAAACTTCACTTCACATACTTCCTTCCCTCTACTTCATTCCAAAATTAAAAGAGAAAATTTTGCAAATTTTACATCGTTAAATATATATGTATACATATCAACAAGATCAGACCACAAAGAAAAAAAGAAAATATTTCTCCTCATCCAGCTTTGTCATATCGGTTTTTATATCCAAGGCGAGCAGGAGATTGAGGAAACGAGTCGGATGTTCCCGTCGCAGCGCGAGGAAAAAGAGGAAAGACGGGGAGGAGGAGGGAACAATTTCAACTAGATTTACAGACTTACGTCGAGCAGATTCATCAAGGAAGCTCGTCTCCGTGGATCAGGTTCCGTCATGGCGGCTAAAACGGACTGGAGTGCCGACGAGGGTGAAACGGAAACCGTTCCTGTCAGCGCCGCGACTCTCGGGGTCGTGTCCAATAATGCCCTTCCCAACGAGTACATCCACATCTGAAAAGCGGCGGAATTCCATGTGAGGCTCACATCGTAATGCCGTTCAAGAGATAAGACACGAGAAGTGAATATATATCGTCTACTGCCTTCTCCGTTCTTTATAATCTCGCGTGAGCGAGACGAGCTGGATATTTCTAAAAATATTTACGTATTTAAGATAAGAGGAAATGTTCCAAAATGGGACACGAGCGAGTTGATAATTCTAATTATTAATTTCATCGATTCTCATTTAACGTTTTTGATATTTTTTTAATTATTGTTGGATATATTTTAACTTTCATCGAAAAAATTATGGATGTTGATTCGGTATCACGTTGCAAAGAAGTTAATTTTTACTCGAAAATCGTGAAAATTATTTATTTAGAATCATTGTTTTCTTTTGCTTTCCATTTCCATAAAATATATCTAATATTTATACTCATATTGTTACATATAAAATCAAAAGCAAACAAATAGACTGT